CACAATAACAACCAAAACAGGATACCCCTCGTCCTCACATACCACCCCACCAACCTCTGAATCCAACGCATCATCCTCCAGCATTTCCGCCATCTGCAAGCTGACCAAAGACATTTTTCCCTCCCCTCACTTATCTGCTTTCCGGAGGGACCACTCTCACCGTGACTCCCTCATCCGCTCCACTCTCCCCACCAGCCCCGCCACCCCCCGGCACTTTTCCCTGCAACCGCAGGAAGTGCTATACCTGCCCCTACACCTCCACCCTCACCCCCATCCCAGGCCCTAAGAAGACCTTCCACATCAAACAGATGTTCACCTGCACATCTGCTAATGTGGTATACTGTATCCGCTGTTCCCGTTGTGGCCTCCTCTACATCGGGGAAACCAAGCGGAGGCTTGGGGACCGCTTTGCGGAACACCTACGCTCGGTTCGCAACAAACAACTGCGGCTCCCAGTCGCGAACCATTTCAACTCCCCCTCCCACTCCTTGGACGACATGTCCATCCTGGGCCTCCTGCAGTGCCACAACAATGCCAACCGAAGGTTGCAGGAACAGCAACTCATATTCCGCTTGGGAACCCTGCAGCGCAATCGTATCAATGTGGACTTCACAAGCTTCAAAATCTCCCCTCCCCCGACCGCATCCCAAAACCAGCCCAGCTTGTCCCCGCCTCCCTAACCTGTCCTTCCTCCCACCTATCCCCTCCTCCCACCTCAAGCCCCACCCCCATCTCCTACCTACAAGCCTCATCCCGCCCCCTTGAACTGTCCGTCCTCCCTGGACTGACCTATCCCCGCCCCCAACTCCCCACCTACATTCACCCTAACTGGCTCCACCCCCACCTCTTTGACCTGTCTGTCTCCTCTCCACCTATCTTCTCCTTTATCCATCTTCTATCCGCCTCCCCCTCTCTCCCTATTTATTTCAGAATCCCCTCCCCCATTTCTGAAGAAGGGTCTAGACCCAAAACGTCAGCTTTCCTGCTCCTCTGATGTTGCTTGGCCTGCTGTGTTCATCCAGCTCCACACCTTTTTATGTCGAGAGATTTGCTTATTCTATTAAGGGAGACGTTATACTGACAAAGTGAGTGGAGAAATTTTAAGTAGCAGTGTAAATGGAAGGATTAATGAGATGGGTTTTGAATGTGAGGGGAGCACATCAATTAGAAAAGAAAGACTAGAGAGAGCCAGAGTACGTAGTAACTATGAAGAACTAAATTGCATTTATTTCATTGCAAGGGGTCTTACAGGTAAGGCTGATGAGCTCAGGGCATGATTAAGAACATGGGACTAGGACATCGTAGCTATTACAGAAACTTGGCTGAGAGATGGACAAGACTGGAGCTCAATATTCCTGGTTTTAGATGCTACAAGAAGGGTAGAGAAGTAGGCAACGCGGGGAGGGCAGTGGCGTTTTTGGTTAAGGAATACAATACTGCTGTAACTAGGGAAGATATTTCTGAAAAAAGTCCAGTGAAAATATATGGGTAGAAATTACAAATAAGAAAGGAAAGATCACGTTGATGGGATTGTACTATAGGCCCCCCAATTGTAAAACAGAAATTGAGAAACAAATATGTAGGGAGATCTCAGACATATGTAAGCATAGTAAGGTGGTAATAATGGGGGATTTTAATTTTCCAAACATTGACAGGGACTACCTACTGTTAAAGGTTTGGCTGGTGAAGAATTTGTCAAATGTGCTCAAGAAAATTTTCTTTACCAATATGTGGCTACACCTACTAAAAAAGGAGCAAAACTAGACTTTCTTTTGGGCCGTAAGGCACAGTAGGGGATTGAAGTAAAAATGGGGAAACACTTTGGGTCTAGCGATCATAATTCTATTAGTTTCAAAACGGTTATGGAAAAGGATAAGCGTTCCATAAAAGTTAAAGTTTTTAATTGGAGTAATTGGAAATATTTGCATCATCTATAACTATGGGCAAGGTGCCTGATGACTGGAGGATAGCTAATGTTGTACATTTATTTAAGAGAGGTTGTAAGGAGAAACTAGGGAACTACAGACTTGTGAGTCTGACTTTGGTTGTGGGTAAATTGTTGAACGTGATTATAAAAGATAGGATTTACGGACATTTAGAGAGGCAAAACTTGATTAAGGAATAGTCAGCATGGTTTTGTGTGAGGAAAATAATGTTTTGTGTGAGGAAAATAATTTAATAATGTTAACGGTATGAGACAAAAACTTGCAAAAGTTAATTGGATTAGACTGTGCGCAAGTAAAAGGACATCTGACAAGTGGGAGGTGTTCAAGAGTGTGATGACGACAGTTCAGAGGCATTTTGTTCCTGTTAGAGTGAAGGCTAAGGCCGGTAAGACTAAGTAACAATGGATGAATGAAGATATTGATGTTCTAGTCAAGAATAAAAGAGAATTTTTTTTAGATATAGACTACTTGGTTCAATTGAATCTCTTAATATAAAGAGTATAGGGGTATTCTTAAGACAGAAATCAGGAAAGCAAAGAGGGGATATGAGATAGCACTGGCAGCTAAGGTTAAAGATAATCCAAAAAGATTCTACAAATACATTAAAAACAAGAGGGTAACTAGACAGAGGGTTGGGCCTCTTAAAGATCAAGGAAGTCATCTTTGTGTTGAGCCCCAGGAGATGGGAGAGATAATAAATGAATATTTTGCGAAAGTTTTTACTGTGGAGAAAGAAATGGAATCTAGAGAATGCAGCGAAATAAACTTTGATGTTTTAAAAACAGTTCATGTTACAGAAGAGGAAGTTTGGGAAGTCTTAGAGAATATAAAGGTGGATAAATCTCCAGGATCTGATCTAATGTATCCCAGAATGTTGTGGGAAGTAAGGGAGGAAATTACGAGATCCCGTGCAGAAATATTTGCATCATCTATAACTATGGGTAAGGTGCCTGATGACAGGAGGGTGGCTAATGTTGTACTTTTATTTAAGAGAGGTTTAAGGAGAAACTAGGGAACTGTAGACTTGTGAGTCTGACTTTGGTAGTGGGTAAATTGTTAGACGTGATTATAAAAGATAGGATTTACAGACATTTAGAGAGGCAAAAATTGATTAAGGAATAGTCAGCATGGTTTTGTGTGAGGAAAATCCTGTCTCACAAACTTGATTGAGTTTTTTTAAGGAAGTTACCAAAAAGGTTGATGATGGCAGAGCAGTAGACGCTGTTTATTTGGATTTTAGTAAAGCCTTTGACAATGTTCCACATGGTAGACTAATTAGTAAACTTAGGTCACATGGGCAAAAACAAAGTTGCTGGAAAAGCTCAGCAGGTCTGGCAGCATCTGTGAAGGAGAAAACTAGGGAACTATAGACAGTTCTGAGGAAGGGTCACCAGACCCGAAACGTTAACTCTGTTTTCTCCTTCACAGATGCTGCCAGACCTGCTGAGCTTTTCCAGCAACTTTGTTTTTATTCTTGATTTACAGCATCCGCAGTTCTTTTGGTTTTTATTTAGGTCACATGGGATTCAGGGTGAGCTTGCCAGTTGGATGAATAATTGGTTTAATGGCAGGAGATAGAGAGTAAAGTTGGAGGGTTGCTTTTCAGACTGGGGACCTGTGACCAGCGGTGTTCCACAGGGATCAGTTCTGGGTCCTGTTTTGTTTGTCATTTATATAAATGATTTGGATGAGAATATAGAAGACATGGTTAATAAGTTTGTGGATGACACCAAAATTGGTGGCATTGTAGACAGTGAATAAGGTTTTCTAAGATTACAAAAGGATCTAGATCAAATGGGTCAATGGGCTGAAAAGTGGCAGATGGAATTTAATCTGGATAAATGCGAGGTATTGAATTTTGGTAAAACAAACAAGGGACCTGGGGCTGCAGATACATAATTCTTTAAAGTTTGCATCACATAGAGACAGGACGGTTAAAAAGGCGTTTGGCACGCTTGCCTTCATTGCTCAGTCCTTTTGAGTATAGGAGTTGGGACGTTATGTTGAGGTTCTACAGGACATTGGTCACCCAGTTAAGGAAGGATATTATCAAGCTGGAGAGGATTAAGAAGAGATTTACCAAATGTTGCCAAATATGGAAGGTTTGAGTTGTAAGGCTGGGACTTTTCTCACTGGAGCATAGGAGGTTGAGAGATGATCTGATAGAAGTCTATAAAATAATGAAAGATATAGATAGAGTTGATGGTAGTTGTCTTTTCCCTAAGATGGGGAATTTCAAGACTAGGGGCCACATTTTTAAGGCGAGAGGAGAGAGATTTAAAAAAGACCAGTCAAGAAGGTGTGTTTATGGCAATAGCCTTTATGTTCACAAATTTTATGTCAATTATTTTCAAAAACAAAATTTGGTTGCTAACTTATACCTGTTGCCTGGTGCCAATTTAACTATTGTGGTATCTAGGAAATCATTGCTTTCCTTGTGTGATGTGACTTTATATTTAATGGATAGCTGATAATTATTGGTGATACTGATGAATTCTTCCAATTCTGCTTCTGTGAGAGCCCACGTACCCAAAGCATCAACACAAACACAAAAGGCAATGTTACTATGTGACAGAATCTCCTAACACGAGTTAGTGAGAATGAAAAACAAAATCTGAAAAACAAAATGTATTCAATTAACTTACAATTCATGACAAATAATAATTGTCATGTTCCAATACTAATTGCCTTAAGCTCTGTATGCCCAGTTTTGTGGAATTATTGTAAAATTATTAGACATTAAATTTTTCATAAGAAGCAATTGCCAGAAGAACTTTGAGTATACAGACTAACTGCTGCCTTAAAATAATGCTGTTGAAATTTGGTCATGAATCATGAAAATTGACAAAATGCCATAGGTCAGTGATCTGATAAAAGGTCTTTGAACAAAAATATGAACTTCTGAATCTGTCTCTACAAGTGCTGCTTGACCTGATGAGTATTTCCAGCAACATCTGTTTTAATTTCACATTTCTAGCATCCACAATATTCTGCTTTTGTGTAGGGCAGTGTTCCACTTCAATAAACTGAAGTTTCAAGTCATTAAGAACCTACCTGCAGGACAGATGAGAGTTAGGCCACAGATGTCTGTTGGGTGCCGAGCAGCATATACACCAGCAACATTACCACCCATTGATGTACCAATCAGATGAAACGGTTTCCTATTCAACCCAATGCATTCAACAAACTGGATAAGAGAGAACACAGATTTTCATAGTTTGCAGCTCAGCTCAACAAAGTTGACCTAGATCCTCAGACTCTGCCTTCAGAAACAAGTGAGAGTGACTCGAATAATAGTTTCTACAGAGACACACATTTCTCAGCTTCTATATCGATGGAACACAGGTATGATTCCTTTTGCAAGTAAAGAGGATTAATAGCAAATCCTACAAAGTAAATTCAAAAAAGTTCTAAGCCAAAACATTCTGGAAAAAGAATGTGAAGGATTACACATGGTAGTATGTAAATTCGACACAGTTCTTTTTCAATTTACTATGAGCTTCCTGGGCATTATCTTTTTTGGAAAATTCATCACATGATGATAAATCAGGGATTATCCTCTGAAGTCTTACTGAAAGGAAGGATCAGCATTTGAATTTATTCAGTTTCAGGAGCAATCGGTCATTGACAATGATGCTCAATTATTAAAAGACAGCTTTGTGGGGACTTTATCATAGGTATCATAAGTTCTTCTGTTTGTTTTTCTGCTCATAGAGTAATTTTCTAATTTAAAAAAAATTAAATTTAAGCTTTGTTAACATCGAAACAGATGCTTTGGATTAGCTGAAGTAGTTAAATATATTGAAGAAATGAAAATATGTTTGATTTTGTCAAACGAGAGACACAAGTTACCATGGAGATCAGCTCAATTACCCTTGGAGAACACAGGTTCATTTATTCAGAATGTTAATTAAAATCCTATATCAAAAGCATGAAACACTTGAAACAAGGAATAAGCTGTTGTTCAGAGATATTAAGAAGATTAGGCCCTGGATACAACTTTTTAAAGAACAAGTATTTAACAGATGGAACTGGTTCAGAATGTACACTAAACAGTTGCTAAAGTGGCTCTTGCATTAACACATTTTAGGACGATGCCCTCACCAAAACTAATATTAATAATATTAAAAATCCAGGCAAATTCAATCCTACAACTTGACTTCCATATCCATTTTCATGTGAACATACCAAATTCGGAGATGGAGTAGGCCATTCAGCCCATTGAATTTGCTCCACCATTCAATCAAATCATAGCTGCTATAACTGTAACCTCAATACCTCCAATAACCTTTCACTCTCATTGCTTATCAAGGAACTATCCACCTCAGACTTAAAAGTATTTAAAGACTCATGATCCTCTGAGAAAAACTGTTTTGTCCAATCTCTGTCTTAAATGATTGACTCTAACTTTTAAACAGTGACCCCTAGTTCTAGATTGTTCCAAAGAGGAAACATTGGCTCCACAACTACCCTGTCAAAACCCCTTGTGACTCATAGGTTTCAATCAAATCATCTCTTAGTCTTCTGAATTCCAGCAATACAAGCCCATCCTGTCCAAACTTTCCTCATAAGTCAACAATCACATTTAGTAAACCTTCTCTGAACTGTCCCCAACGCATTTACCTTCTTCCTTAAATCAGTTTTTAGATCTATTCCACTTGCAGCTAGGACTTTAAAACAGTGTTTCATATCAGGACTTCTTAATTTTCCCTCCACTTGGAATCTAATAGTGGGAATATACAAATATGGCTTTGAATGGTTTTGCAGAAGATTATACAGTAAACAATTGTGCTGGACAGGCCAGGCAGCCTTAGGTTCAAACTTCAATCTGCATCAAGTTAACTGATCTAACAGCAAACTTTATTTGACAATGAATGTTAATGGGCTATTTGATCATGGCCTAGATACTATCCTCATTAGCCATTAGAAACGCACACCTATTAGTAGCAAAAGTTCCAGTATAGCACTTAGGAACAGCAATCTTGAATGTGTTCCTTAATCCTTGAGTACTGAAACATAACCTTAGTTTTATTTTTATTATTTATTCATTTTGTGGGATGTGGGCATTGCTGGCTGGCCAGCATTTATTGCCCATCCCTAGTTGCCCTTGAGAAGGTGGTGGTGGGCTGCTTTCTTGAACCGCTGCAGACCACTTGCTGCGGGTTGACCCACATGCCATTAGGGAGGGAATTCTAGGAGTTTGACCCAGCGACAGTGAAGGAACGGTGATATATTTCCAAGTCAGGATGGTGAGTGGTTTGGAGGGAAACTTGAAGGTGGTGGTGTTCCTATATATCTCCTGCCCTTGTCCTTCTATGGAAGTGGTTGTGGGTTTGGAATATGCTGTCTGAGGATCTTTGGTGAATTTCTGCAGTGCATCTTGTAGATAGTACAGACTGCTGCTACTGAGCGTCGGTGGTGTAGGGAGTGGATGCTTGTGGATGTGGTGCCAATCAAGCGGGCTGCTTTGTCCTGGATGGTATCAAGCTTCTTGAGTGTTGTTGGGGCTGCACTCATCCAGGCAAGTGGGGATTATTCAGTTACACTCCTGCCTTGTGGCTTATAGATGGTAGACAGGCTTTGAGGAGTCAGGAGGTGAGTTACTCGCTGAATATTCCTAGCCTCCTACCTGCACTTGTAGCCACTGCATTTATGTGGTGAGTCCAGTAGAGTTTCTGGTCAATGATAAATCCCAGGATGTTGATAGTGAACGATTCAGTGATGGTAACAACACTGAATGCCGAGGGACGGTGGTTAGATTGTCTCTTATTGGTGATGGTCATAGTCTGGCATTTGTGTGGCATGAATGTTACTTGCCACTTGTCAGCCCAAGCCTGGATATTGTCCAGATCTTGTTGCATTTGAACATCGACTGCTTCAGTATCTGAGGAGTCGCGAATGGTGCTGAACATTGTGCAATCATTGGCAAACATCATCACTTCTGACCTTATGATGGAGGGAAGGTCATTGATGAAGCAGCTGAAGATGGGTGGGCCTAGGACACTTACTCTGAGGAACTCCTGCAGAGATGTCCTTAGTATACATAGATTGAGGAAGTGTTGGAGATATCAGAAATGAATCTTGCTTCCTATCATTGTTGGTGTCCTCTATGTCCCACTGTAAGGAGGAGTATTCTAAATTGTCATGGGCTGGATACTTTACAAGGATTGTTACTGTGAGACAAGAGACAGGGAGACTGTGACCATTGCTGAAAACTCCACTACACAGTCCCCTGACTGAGGTGGAGAGAGATACAATGCAGTTAATTCTTCAACTGGGGTCATGGTGAAGCAGGTGACAGGCTACTTGAAGTTGAGGTTTCGATGCTTGTATCAGTCTGGGGGACATTGCAGTACACTCCTGGCAGAGAATGCTGTATAATCCTAGCCTGGTGTGCCCTGGTGTGGAGCAGGCAAAGAGCGGATGTGATTGAGCTTAAGAGCTGGAACAGCAGAAGCAATCTGGGGAAGAAGATGAGGACATTGAGCAGGAGGACATCACCTTTCGCATGGTAGACCACAGCAGCATCGAGCACAACAAGTCAAGCAGGCCTGAATTGACACCCGGTTGCAATAGATGTGAGTTGGGTGCAGTGATTACTCACTGACTGTAAATTTGTTGCTCTTCGAAAGGTCAGCAGTGCCAGTTTGTTCTCATAATCAGCTTCTGTTTGTTTTGGTTTGCATTTGCTCAAACTGAATAAAAGTGAATGTTTTCAACTGTTTGAAAGGTTGGTAGGTGATGGTGACACATCAACCAATAGTAATGCATTTGCACTTGTATTTGCAATGAGGTGTCAGCCGTGGAGGCTATGTGTTCTAAGGGGTGTTTGTTTTTGGGTTCCCTCCCACTACATTTACCGTGAAGGGCAGGTCCTGACCTGCTACATTTGACTGGGGGCACAGCTGGGCTTTAAAGATGGCACATACCAGGGATCCTGGGAGGTCCGAACAGTGGCAACAGGGAAGATACATTAAACGGTATGCTGTGGGGGTATGATGCATAGATAATGAGTTGAGTTTCTGAAATTAGCACGAGAAATTTCAGTATGCTTCACAGAGACAAGCCCTCCATGAAACTCAGAAAGCTGACAGTCGAATTAAGCTTACAGTATTAAGGGGACAAATGTTACACCAAAGGGTTGAGTACAGAGTCAAAATTGGTTCAAAAAGGATATAAATTTAGGAATAAAAATCTGAGTTCTGAGGAAGGGTCACTAGACCTGAAACATTAACTCTGATTTCTCTCCACAGATGCTGCCAGACCTTTTGAGCTTTTCCAACAATTTCTGTTTTTGTTATAAATTTAGAAATTCAAGCGATTGTGGACTAAAGCTGCTCTGTCACTAATTTAAATCATGACTGATCATATGTCAACTTCATTCATCCACCTTAGCTTCATATATCCCCTGGTAGCCTTACCTAACAAAACTCTATTGATCTCATTCTTGAAAATTTTGTTTGTCTCAGTATCCACAACCTATTTAGGAGACAAAACTCCAGATTTCAACATTGCTTTGTGGTTCTTGATTTCCCTTCTAAATGCCTGGCTGTATTTGAATATTAGAGCTTGGTTATGAACATTCAAGTACTGTCCATGATTTCCCCACCAAAGGAACTAGTTTCTCTTCATCTACCCCTTTTAAAATCCTTCTAACATTTTAAAGATCTCAATATAGATCACCTCTCAAGACAATACATCCCAGGTTTATGGAATCTGTCCACAAAATTTAACTAAGTTCTACTAACGTTCTGAAAATTTTTAAACAAACTCAACATCATGCCTTCAATACCTTGTAAGGCTTTTTCTACCCTCTTGGGTGGGTGTGATAGGTCCTATGGCACATTTTGAGAAAGAGTGGGAAAGGTCTCCTGGTGTCCTGGCCAATAATTAATCCTTAAACAACATCATCATAAAAGAGATTATTTGGTCATTTGTCTAATTTCTTTGCTAGGTGGAAAATTGGCCCACACCTCTCAGCCAGAATGTCTGGGTTCAAGTCCCATCTGACCCAGAGGTTTAATACAACATGCTCGAACAGGTTGATTAAAAAATAACTATAAATGCACAGGGTCTAGACCCGAAACGTCAGCTTTCCTGCTCCTCTGATGCTGCTTGGCCTGCTGTGTTCATCCAGCTCTACACCTTGTTATCTATAAATGCAAAACCCTTTCTTTTTCTGTTCATATAAAACTGTCTGAATTCTGTTCTTGAGTTGAATATTTTTGAAGAATTCTGTTGAATATACAATTGAATATTTTTCAATAAATTTAATGGTATCGCATTTTATATGTATATATTTATTTTATTCCGCATTCTGTTTTAGATTACATCAATTATTAAAAACAAGTCATTTTTTGAAGAAGATCCAGATAATAGAGCTGACAGAAATCACAGACTAATATTGCTGTCTTGAATTATTTCACATATTGGAGGAAGTCAATCTGACCGATGCAACAAATGTGTGCAACTATGGGTCAATCATTCTATTCCTTATCTACTGCAAAAAGCCAATAATGGCTCCTAGTAAGATTCAGGAATAAAGGGCTTCATGAAAAAAGCTGACATTTCGGTCAAGCCACAGGATTTCATAAAAGTGCAATTTCAAACTCATAAACACTAATCACAAGTTACAATAAATGAATAACTCACCTGGTGAATCCTGTTCACTTGTCCCTCTATGGAATAATCATCTACACAAGTACGTGTTGTGCCCTCATGGCCTGGCATATCAACACAGATCAGGTGCAGGTTCTTAGGTAAAAACTGATCAAGAGCACAAACACACACACTAAATTACTTCAGTTCAAGATGCACAAGGCTATCTGTTATTCAATCACTCCCGGTGATATCACATATGCTGTGTATGATTCTTCTACGGTCTGCAAGAATGGGGACTTTACCTAGTACAGAATCTATATAAAAGATGCTCTTTGCAGCTATAACTTCCACAGTCAAGCCATTATTTATATGCAATTAAATTTGATGATTAATTTTATCATGATCAATGTTGTGTGATTATTTTTATTCTGATCACTATTTTGTGTTAACTTCATATTTACTGCTATTTGGTTCGATGGTCACCCCAATGTCTAGTGTGTAATACCACACTAAAGTTAGATACACTTATGTAATTTATATATTTCTCTATCAGATGTACTGTCAAAACGTAACCCAATGCCAATCCTTACAGTTGAGAAGTGTGAAAAAATGCATGTTTCAGGTTTGATGTTGTAAGCACATAGTTGGGGAGATCAAACCAACATGTCTTCTTAAGCTGCTTTTACATTTATGCTAATAAGGGCCTTGCAATGCTAGTTCCTTCAGCACTGATCTTGCATAGCTAGAAGCAAGCCCCTACCCCCATCTCGGCCACATTCTCCACCCCACGGAAACCTAAATGTATTGAGTTGGCTTAGAATTATTGGTCACACATGTTTCAGCAAACTGTGTTACAAACATCCCTCTGATACCAAGAGAAACAGCTTTACTTGTATTTGTGAATCCATGCAAGTGATTCAGGGAAGTTGAAAATGTTCCGCCACCTCAGGTCAATGTTTTGAGGAATTGTGCACATCTCAGCAATTTTGGAAAAGTGCACATACATCCAAAAGCATTGAAGAAGATGGAGAAGAATCTAAGCATTCTAGTGCATACATCTCTGGAGGACCATGAACAATGTCAAGAAGCCATAGCTAGGGTTTTTCTGCATTCATAAGATAAGACATATTATTTTGTCTTTGTACAAAACCTTGGTCACACTTCAAATGTGATATTGAGGCTTTGGAAGAAGTACAAAGGAGGACCATTAATCTAACTCCTAGTTTAAGGCATCTTTGTTAACAAGAGTTGGATTCTAGAGAAGTAAATGTTCAGATGATCTGATTGAGAATGATAAGATGATGAAAGGAATAGATTGTGTTCCAGTTAAGAGTTTGTTCCAACTAAATTGGTTAAAAGGGACCAAATGTCATGATCTTCAGTTATATGTGGCCAGATTTATGTTATTAATTACAGCTTTTCTCTGGAACACGCTGCCTGCTCAGCAATGGACGTGTCTCATTGAATTCCTGCAAATTAGAGCTGGACTCGTTACTGATGTGAGTTTAACTCCTACAAAAAGGGAGCTGAGAAATCTCCTGGACCAGGTTCAATCAATTAGATGCATTGGAGAAGAATTTTCTAATTTTCTTCCCCACAATAGCCTAGACTTCTAATCATCTTTTTACCCCTCCCAGTAGAGCACAGGGTGAGGTACAGTCTCTGTTTATCATGCTGCACAAGGCACCACAATTATATCGGACAGTCTGGATGGACCAGAGGGTCTTTTGTTGTCTATCATTGTGCAGACACAGAAGAAGGTGATTTGAGAAAGTGAGGAAGTAATGGAATAAGGAAAGGCACTGCATTTATGAGCAGTGTCACTTGGATTAATTTTAATAATCGTGACCTTTTATATACTTTCTCAAATTGAAAGAATTAAACTAATGACGAATGCAGGAACTAACCTTCACCACAGATAGCCACATGTCCTTGTGAGCTGAAAATCCATGTAACATCAAAATGGAAGGTTTACTACCAGGTTTCCCACGGCAGGAATAGCAGAATCGATAGTTGCCACAGTCAGCATTTTTAATCTGCATGCCTAATGTTGTTCGCCAGTACCTGTGCAAAAAACACAACAGTCTAGCATACCTAGAAGTCTACTGCACACCAGTGACAGCTTTTCTGTTAATTCTTGCAAGTTTTTCAATACAATTTTCTTAAGGATGATTTATGATTAACAAGACATTGATTAACAAATCCCATAGAGACTTCACTTAAAATACAGATCTCAAAGGGAACATGCTTTGCTTCCTGCAGCTAGCTGGATGTACAATTGCTCTGTAGACTGAGGAAGAAATATTCTCAAGTGCAATGTTATCATTTGGCAATAATAGTTATATTGAAACAAAGTATGATCATGCCTTTATTGATCAGGGTCTCATTTCAGTTCATAATCCACATTTCAGGTTGAGAAGAACTTTCTTTAAAATAAGAAATGATCTTAACCAGGAATGTTAAGTCAGTTTCTCTGAATGTTCTCCGCATTTTGATGAACAGTCATAGAATTATAGAATCCCTACAGTGTGGATGCAGGCCATTTGGCCCATTGAGTCCACCCTAACTCTTCAAAAAGCATCCCAACCAGACTAAGTCCCTCACTCTATCCCTGTAACCCTGCATTTCCCATAACTAATCCACCTTGCTGAATGGACATTATGGGCAATTTAACATGGCCAATGCAGCTAACCTGCACACCTTTGGATTATGGGAGGAAACCAGATCACCCAGAAGAAACCCATGCAGACACGAGGAGAATGTGCAAACTCCACACAGTCATCTGAGGGTGAAATTGAACTCGGGTCCCTAACGTTGTGAGGCAGCCGTGGTGATGACAGGGTCACCATGCCATCGGAATATTTCAAGTCATCAGACTCAAAATGTTAACTCTGCTTTCTTCCCACAGATGTTGCCAGACCTGCTGAGTTTCTCCAGCAATTTCTGCTTTTGTTTCTCTCAACAGATGCTGCCTGAACTATTAAAGTATTTCCATCATTTTGGTTTTATATTTTCAGATTTTCCAGCATCTATAGTTCTTTGCTTTTCTATTTCAATTTATAGTCAAAGAAGAAAAACATACCCATTTATCTCAGAACAAGATTAATAATATCTCCTTTCAAATTTGAAAATATAACACTAAAAAAATGTTATGTTTCCAGAACATAAAATGGAATAACAATAATGAATGAAAAGGTGTAAAATTTGAGTAGTCTTAAGCTCACTGGTGCCCATGCAACTACTTTACTTCACCTGTTTAAATATGAGCTATTCAAAAGCTCTTTATTGTATTGTAGTTTGCTATCCTACATTACTGGGCAGACTGTAAGTCTAATTTACTAATCTTGCACTCCCAGCAATGATACATGCTCAATTGAGCACAAGTTGGGGATGGGGCTCTAACCTGCACTTCCCTTGAGTGCACATTCTCATGAGGAGTGCAGGGGCAGTGAAAACTGTCAAGGTACATCATATGAACCGCTTCTACAAAACAAGTGCCAACCAAATTCAGCAAGATTTTATTCCTGACCTTGAGTCTTATCCAACAGGAACACAAACCAGAAAATTAAGTGCAAGAGACTGCATTATCAAAAATACAGCATCTCCAGTTTTCTGGTGACAGCCTAGCATTATGCAAAAGAAACATCAGTAGTTTTATATCCATAAATTTGCAGTCTAGCTAAACTAAACCCTCAAGGAACCATTTAAAATGAGAATTTTAAACATTACTTCTGCTCACAAATTCCTTATCCTCAAAATCTCTTCTCCTATTCTGTTTTCTCATTATTCAGTCGAATCTGCAGTTTTTAGTCTCTTTGCAGCTTTAAACCATTTATCTATTCTTCGTTCTCTCCACAGAAATGCATTTTGGGAATGGGAATGATATTAAACCCTTGGTCTCTATCTGTTGAAAACCACCTCAATAACTGATAACTGAAAATTGATATGCCTGTGCCTATAGGTGTGAGCAGACCAGCCTCTGATGCCTTTTAACTCTGAAGGTAACTTTTTGATTGTTTTCTCCCCATATTATCAATCAAGATATTTACACCTTGCTGACACATGAAAGTATAGCAGCTTTTGATGCTTGGCTAAAGTGACTATAACGTGCAAGATTTGAAACAGTGAACTTCAGTATGAATTCAATCCCAGGCTATGAACCAGGGATGTGGGATTGAAAAACAGGCAAACTGTATCCTGTCCTCACTCAAATATTCGCACAATGCACAGGGCTATATAGCAATTAAAAACAAAAAAACATACCTAACTTCATCATCCTCATTCAATGAGGTCACCACTGGCTCCTTGGTTTACCGCCCTGAGGTCTCCTAACTCAGCACAGTTTAATGCCAGGATCTTTTTAGCCTGTCTGAGCATTCCCCTTCACCTCCAAATCCCCATCTACACCAATCACCATTACCTGACTGAGAAGAACATAGAGCATAGAACAGTACAGCACTGGGAACAGGCCCTTCAGCCCATCATGTCCATGCTGACCATGATGCCATTCTAAACTAATCCCATTCACCTGCACATGGTCCATTTCCCTCTATTTTCCCTGTTTATGTGTCTGTCAAAATGCCTCTTAAATGTTACTATCGTATCTGCTTCTACCACCTCCCCTGTCAGTGTGTTCCGGGCACCCATCACCCTCTATGTAAAAAAGCTGCCTCACAGATCTTGTTTAAACTTTGCCCCTCTCACCTTAATTCTATGATCCTTAGTTTTTGACATTTCCACCCTACCCATGCCTCTCATAATTTTGTATACTTCTATCAGGTCGCCCTTCAACGTCTGACGCTCTAGAAAAAAAAATCCATGCTTGTCCAATCTCTCCTTATAGTTAATATATGCCAATCCAGGCAAAATCCTGGTAAACCACTTTTGCTCCGTCTCCAAAGCCTACACATCCCATAGTGTGGTGACTAGAATGGCACACAATACTCCAAATGTGGCCTAACTAAAGTTTTATACAGCTGCAACATTACTTGCCAACTTTTATACTCAGTGCCCTGACAGATGAAGGCAAGCATGCCAATATGCCTTCTTTACCACCTTATCCACTTGTGCTACCACTTTCAGGGACCAACACAGAGCCCAACATTTCAATTGGTTTCTGGGAGAACTGAGATAGGTCACCACTGAAAATCCAGAAAATAGCTCAAAATCGCTTTGCCTTTCCAATCAATGTCTCACCTACTTCCTCACCCCTTCAAGTGTGATATAACTTCAGTGGACTGAGTACGGACTGGCCAGGATTGCACCCTGCCCTGGTTTAGATGCCACTCTCCTACATCATCTTGAGAGGGTGGACATATGAGTTTTGCAAGTACTCCATAAATCTGGAGATACACTTCAGTTGGGACTTGGCACAGGTGAGGCTGATCTCACAGGGCAAAAGCTGGTTGACAGCGACGGCAGGCATCATACCAGTTAAGTGTCGAGGCCCAAAGTCTCAGCCCAGACTGAAGAAGATTGGAGTGAAAGGAGGGGATGGGCCTACAGGCAGGGATTTTTGTTTTATATCCCAAAGTGTCTCTGAAATTCACGATGGTCTGGGCAAGCCAAAATCCTCTTCTGCTAAAGGATACCTGACACCCATTCAAACTAGAACAGAAACTGCCAGAGAAACTCAGCAGGTCTGGCAGCAATCCTTGGGGAGAAAGCGGAGTTAATGTTTCAAGTCTGGTGATTCTTCATCAGAACTCATTAGTTTCTGTTTTCATTTCAGATCAACAGTTCTTTTCTTTTGTTTTACCCACTTCAACTAACCAGCTCATTTTGGGATTTCCAAGGTGGGGAATGTGAAGATTCATTGTGGATATCTCATCCCCAAACTTCAAAGGTATACTTTGAACACCCCTTCCCTTGACCTGTAAACCTCTGGACAGGCAATAATAACCAACCCTCTGGACATCCTGGTCATTGTACATTTTACAACAATAATAATCTAATAGCTGTTTGCTCATTCTGTGTGTAAGTGTAGTCACAATGACAATAAATACAAGTATAACCGTCACTAAAAATTAACAAATGTACACTTACCAGTAATAGAATCTAATGAGTGCTGCAGGACACAGTAGAAAGGAAGCTACAAAAGCTAGAATGGGTATGGCAAGAGTGCCTCCTGCCAGGACACACATGTTCATTAAATCCAAATCCATTTCCCCACCCTCACACCTGAAAGAATGAAGAATAAAGGAAGAAGAGCATGAGTAAAGTAAACAGAAAAAAATCTGCTGAAGTTGTCTGCTCTTCAGCTACTTAGGTCTTGGACTATACTAATATATTTCCTCTGGATTATAAGCATAAGCCTGCGTGACATCATGTAATCAAATGCAATAAAAGAACAAAATAAGACTTTTGGAAGTGATTGCACCTGCACTTCTTAAAAGTGAGAGTCACTTAAATGTGGAACAAATTAACACTTGTAGCACAACAGTTTACAACTATTAACAGCAGGGTGATCATAGATAGCTTAGGTTTGATGTTGTATACTGCAAACTGCTAGCAATTTTGTATTTTTAATATCCAGATGGCTTGTACACTGTACAAAAGGTGATCTTAGAGTTACAACACTATTCTATAACAGGATTAAATATGCCAAAGCTCACAAGATTATTGGTTCATTTCTGGAAATTCATGTGACATTTCTAAGATTTGAAGGAGTCTTGAATGTCTTAAAATGTTTTTACTGAACTTTTATTATATCAACTTAATTAAATATATTTAACATTTGTCTCATCAAAAAATGAATCGACAATCCTGTTTCACAAACAAAAAAATGATGTAATTTGTATTGAAAGGGGTGACCCATCACTTTTGCACAATGTTATCTCAATTAAGACAACTATTCGTGTTTTGATCCCTTCTCTCCAGAGTCTTGCTAAGCATTTCTTTTTGAAAATATCCCTTTATTTTCACTGATTAAGGTGTCCCTACACTTCAGGAAATCAAACAGAGCTCTTTGTTATTTTATTGCCACATTTGACCTCAAGGGGGATCAGGTGAAAATCATTTGAAGGAGGAAGCCAATTCAGAGGACGAACATTGAGATATTTACCTGTAAGATGTCCCAGCCAGTTTAGTGAATTCAAACAGACCCATTCAACATCATGAAAAGTACAGTCTGTTACAGAACTCCTCAGTGGTGCCCTGTGTTCAACCTTCCATCATTCAAATTGCAGTGCAGAAATTCTGGGGAGATTTAACCCAAGGAAGTGTCCTTCGAACAAATCGACTCATCACCTTATCATGGATTGTTTTTAAAACTAGATCTTTGAAGAAAGATATAACTGTATGCAACTGCTGGAGTGCTGCACCTTTAACAGCACAACGTCCTGTTCTAGAACCGTCCAAATTTGAAACATCATAATCATTATTACATCACAATTAAGAAACCTTTAAAAACAGCCTAGAACCTTACCAAGACAACAAACTTGTGGCAGAGACAGTAGGAACTGCAGATGCTGGAGAATCTGAGATAACAAGGTATAGAGCTGGATGAACACAGCAGGCCAAGCAGCATCATAGGAGCAGGAAGGCTGACGTTTTGGGCCTAGACCCTTCATCAGAAAT